AATTCGAGAGCGAAAGTGGAGGTGGGTCGGCCACACACTTCGACGGGGCGGAAACGAAATCTGCAAGCAAGCGCTGGATTGGAATCCGGCAGGACATCGCAGCAGAGGCAGACCCAGGGGCTCATGGCGGCGGATCCTCAATAAGGAAATTAAGCAAGTCGATAGGAATCTGACCTGGGCCCAGGTCAAGGCAAAAGCGAGCAGCCACCCAGGATGGAAGTCTTTCACGTTGGCCCTTTGCACCGCTGGTGGTGCACAGGACCCTTAAGTAAGTAAAAGTAAGATCTGAATTCACAATATCGCTGTAAGAAGGGCCAACAACGGAGGGGGACGCTTACACGAAATCCACGGGAATTTAAGAATCTCCTTCCAACGAAACGATCCAACAAATCGAATAACACAATTCGCAATACTTATTAAGCTTCCTACAGGATGGTTTGTAATGAAGGGCGTGTCAATCTCACTGAAACTGTTGAAGTAGAATTCACACCACCACAATCGAAAAAGATGGTGTTTATTCCCTCCTAGACTCCGGTTGTCATACCACTTCATCGTCCAGTCCCAGGTCAAATGATACCCTGATGCTCCCTCCCAACCCAGTGTTTATTTATATAATGAAAATATATGTAGTGGAGAAATGAAATATATCAAAACATTAAATATGAAATAATGAATATAAATTTATAGAGATAAAATAGTTGATATTCTGCAATGAAAATAATAATTATTTTACATATAATAAGATGCAGCTCCATGTTTCCTCAGCTCACAATATCAAGTGGATGTAACACTGAAATTTCAAGGTTATATGAAGCAAATATATATTTTTATCTCTAATTACTAATAATGTAAGGATGTAAATGTAAAGTGTAAAGTGTGATGTATAACTAACATGACTAACAATAAAATGGGATTACGAGAAAAATAAAGGAAATATCTCACCCTATATGTTGCAAAGGAATCCATGACATCACGATGATTTCGAAGAGTTCCAATAGATATGCTGCCGCTACTTCTTCAACCGGTGTTAAAAACAGCACTCTCGCCTTTCGGTTCTCACACAGCAGAGCAAACCCCATCAACCACGAAATACACTCTAGAGGGATCTCAGCAGAGAAAAAAAGAACTGCATCCACTTTCCATCACCAATCGCTCGCGACGGCAGCTCCTCACCGGCCCAATAAACTCGCGACCAACGTCGAAATCAGAACCAAACCAGGGATGTGTTCATAATTTATTATATAAAAAATGCTCATGTTTAATGTTTGCCATACAAGTGTATCCGCGGCATTACACTGACCAGCAGACGATCACTTTTGTAAGCCGTAAACTCGCTGATTCACATTCACATTCACAGCAGACATTTAGATAGATACATAAACAGATAAAATACTATTCTCTAACGTTAGTAATTTTATTCATCAAAGTTAATGATCGACGAAAGCAATAGCCACTTAGAAGCTATTTGGTTCAAAAGAGTTTTCAAGATTGGCAGCATCAAACTAATGATGTTTCTTATGGAGTCAGACACAATTCCAGAAATCGTGAAAATTGCATCATATTGTCCAGGCTATGAAGCTGGAAAATTTGGAGCATTTCTGTAAAGAACCTGGTTGTCACGGAAAGTGCCTTCTTCTTCTTAAGCATTATTACGTCCCCTACGTCCACGCCGGCTCTTAACTTGTTAATTGAGAGCTTTCTAAGTCTGTACCATTTTTGCATTAGTATAATTTTGTGCCAAGTACAATCATACATGCTCAGGGAAGCTGAGAAATTTTCCAACAAAAAAAAAATCCTAGTCCGGACCGGGAATCAAACCCAGCCGCCTACAGGGAGGCCCCTATGAAAAGCTAAAGATTTGAAACCCGGTGGAGGGGCTTCGTACGCCGGTGGTGTAGTGGTAAGCGTGATTACCTCTCACCCCAGCAGGCCTGGGTTCAAACCCAGTCGGCGCCGCCGGGATGTTCTGAGGCATAACATCGCTGATCACGCCTTCCTTCGGATGGGAAGTAAAGCCGTTGGTCCCCGGTTCATGAGTTGATGGGTCGATAGGTAGGGTCCAGGTGTGGGAGCTGCCTTCCTGGCACGTCGGTAGCATTGGTGCTCAGCACGGAAAACAAGATCGACGGAAAAAACAAACCAAAGGAAAAAAAATAAGGGGCTTCGTATCATTACCGCTACTCAAGGGTCAATAGGAGAGGCTTTCCGATGCTGCTGCACGGCATTCTTATCAGATGGACTAGACCTATGCTAAGGTAAACTCAGTTCAGTAAACAGTTCAGCTCAGAAGTCACTCACCAGGCTGCGCTAGTATCCCATTCACCCTTTAATTTGCTTTAACTCGACATCTTGACTAGATAGAAGGATCCTGACTTGGGCAAACTTGTTCATATTGACTAGAACTATTGTATGGTGAACATTTCGGTTCGGAACTCACTCACCAGGGTGCGCTAGTGAGCCATTTATTTTTAATTTGCTTCGACTTAACATATTGTCTATATGGAAGGTTCCTAGACCGTACCCAGTGTACCGTGTAATAGGTTTAGTCCATCTTTGCCGAAGACAGAAACCTTCTATATAATCAAGATTTTGAGTTAAAGTAAATTAAAAATGAATGTAACACTAGCGCCGCCTGGTGAGTGAATTCTGAGCTGAAATACTTACTGAACAGAGCTGACTGAAACTGAACAGAGTTTATCTTAAAATATGTTGAACAACTCTACCGAACATGAAAAGCTCCCATATGAGCAGGATCTAAGATAGCTTATCTTGATTTTTTTTTAAATTAGCGCCATCTAGTGTGAACATTCTGTTATCAGTACTCTATTCATAGTTTTGAAGGAATTGTGCCTTTGACTCCCTTAGCCCAGTCGGTTAAGGCAAAGATACGAAGCAAGGTGGCTGAGTTCGATTCCCGGTCTGGTCTAGAAATTTTTGGCATCGAAAGCTCTCAATTAATAACTGTGGAAGTGCATCTAGAACACCAAGTTGAGAGCACGCAATTAGCTAATATGCGATACGCAATAAGGTTGAAATGCGAGGAAGAAGAAGAAGTATTCTTGAACATTTTTGCCCATGGATCTCGAAATATCCCACACATGGGTACATTTTTACAATGACCCCTGACAATGACGTGATAAATCCAAAGAGAAGAAGGTAAAGTGGTTTTTTATGAAATATGAGACTTGTGATCCAACTATTCCAGGGATAGGGCATGCAGATTTTTCATAGTTATGGAACAACGAACTCACAGAATTTGGAAAATCAGACGTCCATAATGGTCATCGCTGTTGAATGATAGCGATCAGATGTAAAAGCTTGGTGATATATTAACCACTATTAGTGTGATTTTATCCACTTTTTTTTTATTTTTTTCAGTAATTCAATATGTCAGTAACTTTAATTTTAACTGCAAAATAATGTTTTCTTAAGATCTAGATAGAGTAAATGACTGTAGGCAGTGACATTTTTCGGAAACCAAAATCTAAACGTTACTCTTACTGGATGTTCCCACCAAAAGACTTCGTTGATTCAAACGATTTCTTAGTCTTTTAGCTTCAATCTGATTAGATATTTACGACTGAGCAATCACATTTCATCAGATTTTTCTTGAAATGAAACATGCACTCTACAAAATGCTTCTTATAACGAATTGCCGATAATATAACAACTGTCTAGCACGCTGTTTCAAAATAGGTTGCCAACAATAGTCAGTCACACTTACCTGAGAAGTTTGAAGCATTGTAGAAACGTTTTAGAATAATTTTGGACAATTCTACCGATTGGAATGTCTCTATTCAGCAGATGAACGTAAACAAACAATCACTACATAAATGGGTGCGTTACGTCGCGAAATCGATTATAGAAGCAAAAAAGCTACTTAGATTATCGAGAGTACGTAAATTATCCTACCAAAAATATTCTAGAAGCAATTGATTTATTTTTTAGTTCACTGATACTATAGAAGTATAAACACACGCAAACGTACACACTCTCACACAAACACACACACGCATCCACGAACGCACACAATTTTACTTTGACTTCGCAATTGATTTCCTACAATCCCTTACACTGAACCTGTTATCCCAAAATGAACGGAATAAATTATCGCCAAGGACAGGAGCATGCATGCGGTCATTTTAATGGACAAAATCCTCATCTGAAGTGCAGAATTTATGTCCATTAGCTGGTCAGTTGAAAGCGACAATTAATCTAAAGCGATATAACTTTACACTTTATTCGGTGTGGTGACCAACCACCGAAATGGCCTACATGACCATTTTACTGAAATATTCAAAACATAAAAGAGGCTGATCATAAACTACATAGACAGTTTGTTTTGGTAGTATTGACCCCCCCCCCTGCTTAGACAAATGTTCATACAAAAATTTTAAAATTTGTATGGGCCGTGGATAATTGTCAACCCCCTACCCCTAAACTGTGTACGTATTTTATGAACAGCCCCAAAGATGTACGCTGCCCTTATGAAACATTACCATTGTATTGCCACTAGTAATCAAATGTAAAACGGTACATTCTTAGGATACATTCATAGAAAATGATTAAGTCTTCCCCATAAATCCAGAATCAACAACCAATATTTCAATAATTGGTGGCTTGAGACGTGGTTCAACAATGTATCAAATGCAAGCGAAACAAACTCAGTTATTTTGCAAATTAAAATTACGTTTATTGTCACCCTTTCCCCATTATATTTTTGACTCGATCAAAACTTTTAACAAGGTCGCCTTGACTGTATACAGGCAGCAAACAGTATCCAAGGAACGCTGCACCGTGCTCCAGATCAATTTCACAATACGCTTTCTTCTTTTCTTCTTCTTATTCTTATTCATGATATTTTGTCATGAAACCTTTCCGCTAGTTATGCATTTCTTTCTCAGTATCGAAATTTTGATGGTTTGTTATTCCAGCGACGGAAAATCTTCTCAAGCTGATGTAAACTTTCTTCTGAAGCGTCAATTATCACGGTGAAAATTTTACGAGCTGCTGGTTGTTTTGATCTTTAGTTTTCGACTGGAGCAACCTCGAACGACAAGCGACATAGCGTAAAAGACAGTCAACAAAGAAATCCCGAAAAAAAGTCCCATTAACCCTCCCAGAGAAACTGCAATAAAAAAGAAACATGCTTCAATAAAGTTGGAATTTAAGTTGATTTGTATAGTCAGATATTCACTGAATAGGTCCATCTCCGTTTTGACGGTATTTCTCAGAAACCTCATATCTGGCAAAGAAAGCATCCTTATTGTTACCAAATCATCTTCGCTTTCCAGCTCGCTGTAATTAAGGAATGCTTCGTTGAATAATAAGCAATGTATATACCCGCACACCATACCTGTCTGAGCTGTAGACTACGAAATACTCCGGTTCAATGCAAGACGATAGACAGGGACATTGTTTTCGTATTTTGGCCAGTTCCACTGCAAACATCAAGTGGATTAGCGAATGCATGAAAATGATCTACTTATGAACTTTACTAACCTGATTTTTCCGTCAAACAGGTAAGTCCTTCGAAATCACACATTTTCATGGAATTGCTTGCTTTAGAGAAAAGTTTTAATTATGTCACTTAGGTGCAAATTTAAAGCTACAAATCATTACCACGTTTCGCTTTCGGCATCAAGTGGTGAGTACAATTGCAGAGTTCAATTTGAGTTTTCATGAAGCACTCCACGGCACAGGATTCAAAGCTATATCTATCGTAAAGCTGCAAAGCTGATGGAACAGAACCGATAAGTCAGAGATCACACAATCAATATTGAACCGAGTCACTTACACTCTTCGGGTAATTCCCAAGGAAATCTGCAATCCCGGCGATTGATAGCAATATCGTGCAGATTGCCGTTATTTTCCATTTCGATAACTTTGAAGATAATTTCCTTGGTCATTCCCCAGAGTATCGTTTCCTTCAGAGTGCGATCTGCGTAGGCATACGGGACCGCGTTCTCATCGTGAAGATATACTTGTAGGTCTTCTTTCACCTTGAATCGTAGCACGCCTGGACCTGAGTATCTGTTATTTATCAGTTTCGACGCTGCTTTTGGGTTGCTATTCTGTGAATTGATACTAAAACACAGTCCGAACTCCGTCTCCAATGGATGAAAGAACTGACAGCAATCAAACGACCGACCCTGCCAAGAGCAATCTGATAGCAATGAAGGACATTCTGCTCGGTAGCGCCCCATGACAGCAGATAAATTTCCAGGACAGCTCATCTGACCACCAGTACAGTATTCGCAAGAGTAGCAGGTCCCACTGTAGAAAGCTATGTCGCTCATGACATTGTCCATCCTGTAGTCGCGATTGGGTCCAATTTCTCTACGCGAAATATATTTTTCATACAAAAACAAAATAAACACTATCTCTGATAGCAAAAAGTTTTCCGTTTGATTTTTAACTCCAAAAAAACAGTTTCTCTTTCGCAAATCCCACTTGAGTTCAATATTCAAGTAGTGTAGTGCGGGAAAAATCGAAACAAGTAAAATGCTCTTACCTCTCGAATAAATCCGCCATCGTTTCGTCGTTTAAAACCTGACACACACTCACGGCCGGGAATGTCGTATTCCAGTGTAGGCTACGAGAGAAACAAAATCAGTTTGAAAATCTTTTTCGAGTGTCAATTTAAAGCATTGGCACACACTAAGCTGTATCAACCGTGAACGAAAGGTTGCTTAACAAGAAAGACTGCATGAGAATTCGACATGATCTGAGGAATAAATAAAGCATGCCGGCAGCGACTGATAACCAGTAGAATCTGTAAATAATTGAAAATAGAAAGTGGGTGGTACAATTTTGAAGCAAAAATATCTACCTTTTCAGAAACAGAATTGAAATTTCCAGAGCAACCATGATTGTGAGATATACTTCGAAGCTTCGGAACGATAATGGTGGAAGAGGTGCATACAATTGGAGCCATACTGCCTTAGATACGGATCAAATAATTGCTTCCAACTGTAATACATCACACAGCTAATAATTGCCCCATTCGGGATCTTAACAATGGCTAATAGTGCAAGTAGGATAATATGGGGTAGCGTGCACCCTGGCACTCTTCGACATATATGATAGCTCTCGAGTAACATTTGAAATGGGCCTATGTCCAAAACGTAAACAAATCGGATTTTGATACAATTCTTTAGCACCGCTTGATAGCTACTAATCGTGTAGGACAGTTCCGCATAATCGAGAAAAATCATTAAAAATAACTCAATTTTTGAAACGGCCGATCAACGAAATTTTTCGATTCATTAATAGGCCCGCACGCTAAAATGGCCAACCATTAATTTATTTCATTTCATTGATAAGCCTAGTGACGTAGAAGGGCCGATGATTGAAAATTTTCAAACCAATGCTAGGACCTACTGCTTGAGGCAGGGCCGATGATTTGTTTTGAATTTATTTGACGTTGCGAAAAGGCTTATCAAAGGGCGTACCATTTCTGATGACAAGCACAACGGCTTAACAAAAAGGGCCTATCCATTGAAAGAGTAAAAAAAAATGCTTATTAATTTATGGAATTTAATTGTTATAGATTTTCATATATTTTTGAAAGCTTTTCGCATATTTTGGATGTTGTATACTGAGATACAGTTACTTTTGTTATTGTGAACAATATAAATGCCTAGAATACTTTAATTTTCTTAAATATGAATTGAATAGCGGCAGAAAAATTTAAAATTTATTTGCTGGTTTGTTTGCGTTTTGGACATAGGCCCATTTCAAATGTTACTCTAGAATTTTACCAAAGCATTTTCGTGGATTTATCACGCAACATTGCAAGCTGAACTGATCTAGCAATGTTACTGGACAGATCTTTGAAAAATAGATGATCCGTGGATATGAAAACCGAGGCTATAGACCTTTTTGACGTTTAATCGTCTTTATCTATATAGCAGCAGAGATGAATGGATTCTTTGTTTTCCTACTAATTTGTTTCCCTCTTGCTCGCACTTTTTCAATTTAGATGGAACAGTAGTGTGCGCCGACTAACCGTCAAAAAGCTCTATTGGCTAATCAAAGTTGGCCCCCGTGGAGATGTAGATCGTCGGTAAAGGCTCAGCTACAAAGCAAGACCATGCTGGAGGTGGCTGGGTTCGATTCCCGGTCCGGTTTAGAAATGTTTCGGGTTGAAAAATTTATTGACTTCCCTGGCCATAGAGAAATAGAGTATGACAGTACATGCCACAACTCCCCCCCCCCCCCAACCCCTGCGTAGACAATTCCACAAAATTGTTGAAATTTGTATGGGCCGTGTTTTTTTTTCCATGATTTGTTTTCTGTCGATCTTGTTTTCCGTCCTGAGCACCAATGCTACCGACGCCAGGAAGGAGGCACCGGGGACCAACGGCTTTACTTCAATTGCGAAGGAAAGCGTGATTAGAGATGTTATGCCTCAGAACATCCCGGCGGCGTCGACTGGGATTGAACCCAGGCCTGCTGGGATGAGAGGTAATCAAGCTTACCACTACACCACCGACGTCGCTAGACGCCTTTGATTATATTGAAATAAAATTTCAATTTTGATTCCCGTTGTGAATGGGCCAAAGCAATGCTTGTAACAAGAATAATAATGTTTCATGATCCGCAATTGCTGTCGGACAACTGACGGCAAAATAAACCACACTTATGGCAAAACAGAAGAAAGTTTCACCTTTGGCAAATCCGCAATGATGCGCAAAAACGATTTTCCATTTCTTTCATCTAACTCTGTTGTTGTTTCCCTTGGGCTAAGGACATTGTTCAGCCTCGGTGTATACTTTTACCTGCAGCTTGAAATGCTTCTTTATACTATTTGGTGTTCTGCGCGGGAGCAAAATGCCACATCCACCCACGCGCTCTGCAATCGCTTGTACACAGGCAAAGATTAATTAGTCCATGATAAGGATCAGATTTCAACGTTAATATACAGCCATGCCTTGTTTGACGATACAAGCAGCGGCATAACGATCTTTTTTGCGGATTCTAAAAGTGGAGGTCCGCTATCGGGTATAGAAATGGCCTCTGGCTAGTTGCGCAAGCGGTCCAAGCAATAGAATAATCCCGGCCCATATTACTTTCAATCCTAATTCGATACTTCATTGTTGTGGACAAAAACTTACCTTTGTTCCCCTGTTAATTGAATCAGCAACTTTAATCTGAATATTTCTTATCATTAACGATACTATGTATGAGTATTTAAAGTAACTATAATTGCATACCAGGCCGATATGAGTCCATATGCCACTTTTATTCTTTAAAAATAAATCATTTGTAAATTTCCGATAATTTTTTAGTCATTTACATGGATCATAACTGATTGATTTTTTTTTCTAAATAAACTAGTGCATACAGGACGGTCATGCGATTATAGGCAGTACTTTCCCGCTCTTTTCAATTTTCCCCGGAGTACCTATGATTTGTTTTGATTTACTCGCAAAAGTTTCTATAATACATACTTTGTATCGTTTTCTGGTTTTGTTCAGGCAGCCAGCCGCAATCTATAGCCATAATGTAATGAAACCACATTGAGAATCAATTCCTTTCACTACTGCTGCTTGGTGGTTCAGAACAAACACTGTGTTGCAGCAACAGCTAGGAAATCCTAGTGGGCGTCAAGCACTTGTTTGATTTCGAAGGGAAAAATGGACAATGCAAGTTTGATTGTTTATTTTAAAGTTGAGATGGTGACATATGTATGATTTAATTTTGCGGTTGATAAATTTAGCTCTTATAAAAGACTATTTTTTGTCTGAAATCGACCGACTCCTACGGTGAGGGATCAAAACATGCTGTGCATGGAGATGGAGTATACTTTTTCTCCCGTCAAGTTTCGTTGTTGATTCTGTTTTTTTTTTGTGTGTTTTAGGCGAAGCATTCAGCATATTTTTTTGTAATTGCTAAAGAATACAGATTTAGAAATCACAATTGAATTGATAGGGGAAATGGCTCTAATGTTGGCCTATGGATCTAAGATTTGGCCCATCGCTAAATGTCTGCTATTTATCAGTTTTATCTATTGTCATATTATAATTATTGGGACGGTACTAATGGATATTTTTGGTCGCTATTGAAAATTTCAGATGAAACATTTGATAACGGCACAAAATGTTTTGTAAGCAAAAGTTGTAAGGCCTCTTACACGCGAACCGAAGAACGCCCACGTAAACCAACAACATCATCGGGTGGGGGAAATTTTCCCCTTTCCGATAACTGTATTGGTTTGCGTGGGCGTACTTCGGTTCGCGTGTAAAGGGCCTTACAACTTTAGTTTAAAAAAGTTTTTGTGCCGTTATCAAATATTACGCCTGATTTAGTCGATTGCTGAATTTATATATGGGCCCAAATTATAGAAATTTAGGCCGACATTACATCAATTTCCCCTATGCGGATTTTGTGTATTCCTCACTGCACACAGTGTAAATATTAACGATTTTTTGACAAAACTCAGGTTATGATGACTGTAACCGTTGGTTCCAATGTTTACTTGTTGGCTCCTCCACAAGTCCAAAACCTCCCTCCCTGTAACAGTCCCACCTGAAATAAATTAAATAAACTAACACCCTGGAACAGTGGCTCTCATCTGTAGGCTTAGCAAGTGAGAGAGCCTGTTCCACTCTCACGATTCTCCATGTGTGTGTTGCAAGTGTCAAGGAGTTTGAACGAACGGGCGAAATACTTCCCCGCCCAGTTGTTTAGCTCAATCACAGGTGGCGCATGAGGAAGAAAAATGAACCAACCAGGCCGAAATGTCAAACTTCGGCATTTCATCGGCCCTGTGGTGCCGAAAAGCAGTTAAAAGAAATAAAATTCCAAAAGCAGAAGGCTATCTATTTTCAACTCTCGAAAGGAGAAGTGCGCGCGAAAGTCAAATTGATTATTTTGCGACTTCAGTGAAAGTGGCGTGACCATTGTGCTAGCAGGTGGTCAAAGAAACAAAGGAATTTTCATTGTTCTAGTGGTAGTTTTTTGTGTAAATTATTAAAAAAAATTAGAAGGAGAAAGGAGATTCCTACGAATAGAAGTAAAGGAACATAAGGAAAAAGTGGGCCTTTTTTCTTTCTGTTTGGAATTGACAAATCCATGTTTCAATCGACCACCGTGACGCTGCAATCGCAGCGGTGATAAGTCCGAAATAATGTGTCAAACTGAATACATTTTTGAAATTTCCACCAAAAAACTATTATTTTCTATTCATTCTAGTGAGTTTCTGTGGAAGTCAAAACATGATCCGAGCAAAAAAGTAGTACTCGTAATAATGGTATATAATGCTGAATTTTATCGTGCTTTGTTTCGAAAATATCTTCCAAATAAACAAACATCATCCAAATCACCCGATGCGTCCATCGACTAAATCCATTGCCACTTAAAAATTAATTTGAGTCGGTGTATTAATCAGCACATTAAATCGTTTTTCGTCTGGTGCTACACCGAGCAATCGGCCTATTTAATAGTTTTTCGTCGATTGATTTAGTCCGCCAACTTTGTCTGCTGTTTAATCGGCAGATGATTTCAAACCTTAACATGTTTTCAGTGATTTATAAGTCTTGAAGTAGCTTTTTATTTAAGCACAATGCATTGCAAAATAGTTTTATGCATTTTGTACAAGATTCATCCATGCTGACAACAAATTTTCATGAAATTACATTGAAATTAAATAATTTGGCAAACAATCAATGATATTTTCAAGGGCTGTCACAGACTTGTCACCGTCGGTTAGTGCTTATTCCTGCCACCAGGCGCGCAGGAGT